GTCAGCAGGAGGACAACATGGAGGTCACAGCGCTCTGCGTCACACTGTGTGAGTACTGAGTCTGTCTTTAAGGGCCTTGATACAGTGTAGTGTAGTTAACACTGAGTGAAGGCGTCAATGTTGAGCAGTGTCACATGTTCATAGTTTAAGACCTGGAAAGAGACGATAATGTGTTTATGTCAAAACATTTGCAGTTTCCATGTTCGTCAGACATAAAGTGTCTGCTCTGTACACTTCTGGAAACCATGGATACGTTGTATGTGTACATTATTCTGTAGCCGACATGTTGAAACTTCAGCTTCCTCTGGTGTGGTCAGGTTTGTCACAGAACACTTGGTTTTGGTTCTGAGGAGATCACGTTTTGGCTTGAAGCACCCAAATTTGGTGGCACAAAAGCTGCTGGAAAAGTAGGAACAGGTCCGAGAAAAACACACACAGCTACTGTGGCTCACAGCTCCACCATGATCTGCTGAAGAGACCCAGGTCTTTAAAATTCGTGGGTTTCCTCCAGGTGCTCCGACATGTTCTCCCTGTGTCAGCGTGGGTTTCCTCCAGGTGCTCCGACATGTTCTCCCTGTGTCAGCGTGGGTTTCCTCCAGGTGCTCCGACATGTTCTCCCCATGTCAGCGTGGGTTTCCTCCAGGTGCTCCGACATGTTCTCCCCATGTCAGCGTGGGTTTCCTCCAGGTGCTCCGACATGTTCTCCCTGTGTCAGCGTGGGTTTCCTCCAGGTGCTCCGACATGTTCTCCCTGTGTCAGTGTGGGTTTCCTCCAGGTGCTTTATGTTGATCTTGAACAGTGGTGGTCAGTTTGGCAGCCATCTCATCTCTGTGTCACGCCATCCACCTTACTTTCAACCACCAAACGTCAAATTCAGCTCAGATACTACATTATGTTAGAGATATTGATATGCTCCATACGAGCTGTACACATATAAGGCATCCATGGTGGTAACTTGGCTGCTATGCTGCTTTATACTTGACTACATTTCAGAGGTGTATTTCGTCCTTTGAGCTTCACTCCTATCCAGCACATAGATTTGCTAAATACTCTGCAGATCAAGTGTGCACTTAAAAAATATCATTTATTTTACAGATTAAATTCCAAAACAATAGTCGTTGAAATAGTTTTTTAACAGCAGATATGTTTTTAATGCACATCTGATTTATTGATTTATTATTTCTTTATCTGTGTGCACAGTGATGAGTCTGTGACTGCTGCTGGTGATGAAAGTTCAGGACAGTTTTTCTCAGAACGTGTGTAAGAACATGTTTAATATTTAACTCCATTGTTATTTTGCATCATTAACTCTCTGGATAATATCACAAACTTATCAGAGGCTGAGATTCAACTTAATGTTTGGTTTTGCCTAAAACTGTCCCCTCATGTCTCTGTTAACGTCTCCGTCTGTCTCGTTGGCATCAGACGCAGCTTTTCCTCATGTGGATCCAGCCAGACTTCAGTACTTTGAATACGAGTCCATCCATTTTAGCTGTGCGGGGTTTGATGGGTCTCGTGGATGGACAGTGATGAAAAAGATCCCAAATCAAAACAGCACATGTGGCACCAGCTGGGGAGCCTTAAATGGGTCCCACTGCAGCATCACCAATACCTACGTAGACGACAGTGGAGAGTACTGGTGTCGGACTGAAGACGGAAGGACAGGCAACACTGTCAACATCACTGTTACAGGTAGGGTCACAGACACTGTGTTCACTCACATGCATGTTTGTATCGTTCATTCATATTGTTTAAAAAGTGTATTAATAGGACTCATGGCTTCCTATGGTGTCGGTGTTTACAGGCCCACAGAGGATGCTCACTAAAGTCCTCCAGCTAAGCAGCTTCAGACTGTGCTCGTTAGAGTCAGGTGACTGACAAGTGGGGCAACTCTGCAGATCAGCTGCTGGCCATTATATACAACTAATGTGAAATATCTGAATATGTTTTCAGGGAAACATGATGCAGAGCAAATTATGTTTAGTATTAAAGCAATGAGGAAATGTTGCAAATTAACAGACTGGCAAGTCGCAGAAATGTTGATACTTAAAGTAATAACAAAACAGGCAACCTGGCAATACAGCAACATTTAACCAAAAGCGCAACCTTTCTGTAAACTTGAGCCTGGTCTCACTCTGAGGTCGACAGAATCCAGCTCTTGGGCAGTGACTTAAGGCGTCAGAAACCAACAAAAAAAAGCATCCCTTAAAGTAGGCATGATACATGGCTGGTTGTGGTTATAGTTTAACATCACCCAGCGATGACGGGGAAACGCAGCGGTGAAAGGGCGAAAGTTAAGCCGATGAAACTCACAGTCAGGCTGTCGGGAGGGGTGACAGATGGATCCAGCAACCACACTTTCCTCTGAGAGTGTTAGCGGTCCTTCCCGTGTGATTCTAAAGCCAAACCCGGTTCTTATTCCCCGAAGCCAATAACGTGTTTCTGTTGCCTAAACCCAACCATGTGTGTGCTGTACCGACTTAGTGCTTTTTTTTTTTGACTGTATGAAAATGTTAAATTTGTATCTTGAAAGACAAGAACTTGACACGGCGTCTCAGAGCGTCAACAACCAACACGCTCAGGGTCCCTTGGACGTCATATGTGGACGTGGAAAGTCCATGACAGAACTTTCACGGTGTGGCGATATGCTGCCAGTCGGCACCTGTTGGAGCAGTGTGACACGTGGATGGACAGCGTCAGTTCATAAAGCAGTCAGATGGCACTTGTTGCGGTGGTATGAGACACCGCTCAGTTGGAAACACAGGAATGTCCCTGTAGAGTGGGCGGGGGGGGGGGGGGGGGGGGGGTGGGGCAGGGACTGAGCTAGGGGGTGCGAGTGCGCATGCGCTGAGGCCTCTACTGTAGCCTGGAGTTTGTTTAACAGTGACGGGGAGGCGATGGGGGGGGGGGGGGGGGGGGGGGGGGGGGGGGGGGGGGGGGGGGGGGGGGGGGGGGGGCCCGGGGGGGGGGGGGGGGGGGGGGGGGGGGATGGGTCCAACAAATCCTGGACTTTCACGCGGGAGACCGGTGTTCACTTCCTGTACCATGATGTCTCTTTCTACAGCTAACCATGAGCTTTTGCTGGTGTTCTGGTGCTGGTTGGTCCTGGAACTAAACAGCTGATACCTTGCATGTAATATATAGCCATGAGAGGCGACTGTAAAGCGACAATAATAGAATCGTCTCTGAAAACCCAACAAACATGGACGCCTCATATCTGCCACAGTCTGTTGTCTGAAGCCATTTCCCTTCTCTACCATCTGTCCCACATGGTTTCAGGGTGTTAGTCATGGTCGGTTTGTAAAGTCTGGAAATTTCATGCTATTACATCATATTTATCAGGTACTTCCACTCGGATGGTCGTCTGTCACATGACGTGGACCAATGAAAAACAACTTTCAGGGTGTCACAGATAAAATTATGATGTATGGCTACATCCTCCATCAACCTGCTGCACTATGATCACCAGTTTTCAGTTGTATATGTCTGTGAAGCTCCAACAGTCATGTCCATCAAACTAATAATGATAATAATAATGATATTGTATGTTGTTCAGCTGGCTCAGTGATCCTGGAGACTCCCGTCCCTCCTGTGATGGAGGGAGACACTGTGACTCTACGCTGCAGGAACAAGACAGCTTCTGCCAACATCTCTGCTTCCTTCTATAAAGATGGCCGCCTCATCCAGAACGTCTCTGCAGGAAACCTGACCATCCACAGTGTGTCCAAGTCTGATGAAGGACTGTACAGGTGTCTCATCTCTGGAGGTGGAGAGTCAGCAGAGAGCCGGCAAACTGTCACAGGTGAGACATTAACCTGAATGAGATCCAACTCAAAGGCACCAACAGAAATGATTAAATCAGTACATGTGTGAAAGAAGCTTTCAGAGGGCGCCACAGCTCTGACACCAGCACTGTTGTTCCAGGACATCATGACGAGGCGATGCCCTTTTGTTCGGATCAACTTCCTGTTCTCCTCTACCTCCTCGTCAGGACGGTGGGCACAGTTTTATGGGTGGCTCTGCTGCTGTTGGTGCTGAGGAGACGTCACTCTGGGGAAAGTACACAGGTATTAACTGACATGCCAAAAGTAGCTGCTAGAAGCATTACGAGGCTATACGACATACATCAGCCAAAAACTACACATAGAGCAAAGTCTTCCAGGTTTGTTGACCAGCTTTGGCAACAAAAACACTAACTCAAGTTGCATTTAATTGTATATTTAGACTCATTCAATCAGTACAATGATGACGACTATGGAAATCTTCAGTGGTGGCTCATGTCATGGGCAGTACATGCGTCATCCATGTACATGTCATCCACAGGGGGCGCTACAGATGGGGGAAGAACAAAAATCTAAGTGATTATCTTTCACTAGTTTTTACTAAAACTGTTATTGCTTTTATTCTGAAATACGACATGAGGTCACAACAACATAAATACATGTCAGAGCCGACTAAATAACAGAGAAGCCCTTCACTTTACTTGCTCTCTGGGGGAGGTGGGCAGAGGTTCTGTTAAAGGTTGTTTCATAAATGTGTGTTATTGAGTTTGTGCTCATTCAAAGGTGTGAAGTGTGATGAAGGACTGGATCCATTTATTTTTTATAGTGTAGATTTCTGTGTTTCCCTGGAAACAAAGAATAAATAACAACAACAAACAACAAAAACATCTGTATCAGCTGTCGGTGAAACTGTAATTTACACATTGGTATCAGTATCAGCCCAGAATTTCCAAATCAGTGCATCAGTGGTTCAATTAGAAAATGAATTTGTACATTTTATTAATTAATTTACAGTCATGTATCATTTTATTGTTTATTCTTCTGAACAAGTTCATTTGTAGCTCTTTTTTATGGATAATTCATCGATATGATTATTTTAACACGTACTGTACAACATGTTACTGAAAGAAAATTAGCACATATATTTTATTTATTTTCTATTGCTAATGAAGTTGGTTATTTGCATTTTGGGTAATAAACATGCTGTAATTTAACTGTTGAGCTGCAGCAAACGACGTAGGGTGGTAAAAATATTGCAGCTTGGTGACAGAGTTGGATAAATAAATGTGGGTGTCGTCTGCGTAACATAATAGATTATCTTGTTTTATTTGTATTGTATAATTTGACCCTCTGCAGTGAGAGCTTTGAAGGTTTAATTAATGTGTCTTGGGAACTCTGCTTGTCGTATATGCAAAGATAATAAGTCTTTATTTTGTTATTACTGTAGTCTTGGTGATTGTTTAAAAACTTATAGTTTAAAATGAAATAACAGACACATTTATCTTTTTTCTACAGCTGACCAATCTGGACAGAGAAGAAGCTCGACGAACCAAATAATGAGTGACGCTTCACACACTTTTAATGCACCTGGTCCCTTTTCACCCTGCATGCTCTCTGACATGATCATTATGTGTTCAATACGACGTGTTCTTTAAAGTAATGTACAGATTTATAACGTGTTTTGTATAGAAAATAACTCATTAGCATATTTTATGTCTTGGCTGGTGTGTCAGTCGTGTGCTGTGACCACTGAACAACACAAGATGAAGTTTCTCAGGAGTGAAGGTCAAGATATTTGTTGTGCTTAAAACACACCATCTGTCTGTAATCAGAATATCTTTCTTGTATCTCTTCTAATCTTAAACCCTGACGGAACGCGTGCAGAGTAACCACAGCGCCTCTGCAGCTCTGTGAGGAGACGCTGTGGGTTTGTTTAAGTGAAGACTCGTCGAACTCAGAAGACTCAGGTCACGTTCTTTGGTTTTGATCTACACCTGCTCAGTGGTAGTGCTTAGTCACTTACCGTTTGTCATGTGTGCTGGAGTATTTTTATCGTGTGAAGCACTTTGTGTTGCATTGTTTGTATGAAAAGTGCTATATAAATTTATATATATATATATATTTTTATATATATATATATATATTGGTTGATAGCATTTGATGTCTTAAATATAGTTGAGCAGTACACAGACAGATGAAGTGTGAATGCTCTGCTGTTTGTGGTGTTATTTCCACCAGTGTAGAAAAATAAAGAGCGAAGTGAAAGAATTTTAAGTTTATTTTGTTTCTGGACGTCCAGCATGAGATTTCCCATCTGTGTCACAGCAGACACACGAAACAAGGAGCTAAACCCTTTTATACTTCACACCCAAAACACAATTCATTTGGCACAAATCTAGTATTATTGTACAAATATAAAAGCAAAGCTGTGCAATCTGAAACGGTTCAGCATCCATTCATCCGTCATCAAACAGATCTGTGTGATCTCTGTGAACATGGAAGGGATGGATGGTCAAAGCATCTAAAAGCAGCTGGTTTCAGAATTCAGAAGCATCCGAGGGTTTTAGAGTCTAAATTGGGATCAATGGACCATTAGCATTTCTCCTTAAACATAATAACAATCCAGTCATTTCAATTACTACAAAGGTGTGAAGTGTGATGAAGGACTTATTTATTAACAATCATAAAAATACTTTGATTTAATTACTAAAATAGTGATAATAAATAACGTCAACATGTAAAAGACCTTTACGCAGACCTGTTGTTCTGTGACCACTGTAAATCACCATAGAAAGTTTGTCAGGGTGAAAACAGCTCCTGTTTGTGTTCAGGTTTTGTCTGTCTGTGTCCACATACTCAGTATATCCACTCAGAGCGTGTCTTTAACCAGCTGCAGGAAAACCACACCATCACTGTACAGATATGAAAAGAGCCTGTGGGTCCTGTCAGGTCACTCACACCACACTGAAGCTGTGCACATTGGTTTGATGCTGACAGCTGCTGAAACGTTGATGTCCTGAAATATTGTCTGCAGCTAAACACCAAGTGAGGACTAAATTAGTCACGGACAGGGTCAGAGAACACAGAGTCTGACACACATGAACTTTGATGAACCTGAAGACACAGAAACAACACACGTATAGGAACATTTCAAACTCTCTGTGTCTGCAGTCGTGGCTGTAAAATACCTAAAGGTTTACAGTGACTGGACAACTGCAGCCTGTCCTCATTCAAGACTCGTCAAATATCACGGCTCTGTCAGTGACATCAGCGTCACACACTGACCCCAAATGGGAACTTTCACAGTGGTATGATCCGCCACCGGGCAGCATCAGTTGGTAACATGGCCAGATGGAACCGGTCACATCGGTGTCTGCGTCAGATTGAGACACTACCAGTGATGACCTGATATAAGGAGCTGGAAAGTCCCTACAGGGCAGGAGGAGTAGTGACATCACACCCTCACTGTGACCACGCCTCATCAACATATGGCGTCCAAGGTACCCTGGGTGTGTTGGTTGTTGATGTTCTGGGACGCCGTGTCAACTTCAGCCTGTTACATGCATTGTCTGTTTTCAAAATACACTTCTGTTTTCACAGGAAATGTACAGTTTGATACAGTCTCTTTCAAAATAAAAGCACTACGTCAGTACAACACCACCAACTGATGTTTTTTTCCTTCAACACACACACACATGTGGTGATGTTTAGCCAACACACACACACACACACACACGTGGTTACGTTTAGCCAACACACACACACACACACACACACATGGTCACGTTTAGCCAACACACACACGTGGTTACGTTTAGCCGACACACACGCGTGGTTACGTTTAGCTGACACACACACACGTGTGGTTATGTTTAGCCGACACACACACGTGGTTACGTTTAGCTGACACACACACACATGGTTACGTTTAGCTGACACACACACACATGGTTACGTTTAGCCGACACACACACATGTGGTTACGTTTAGCCAACACACACACACACATGGTTACGTTTAGCTGACACACACACACGTGGTTACGTTTAGCCAACACACATACATGGTTACGTTTAGCCGACACACACACATGGTTTAGCCAACACACACACGGTTACATTTAGCTGACACACACACACACGGTTATGTTTAGCCGACACACACACACGTGGTTACGTTTAGCCAACACACACACATGGTTATGTTTAGCCGACACACACACACACGTGG